GGAAATCAGTTTAATTTACTACAAACCAAATCAGAGTAGGATAATGAGAAATAAAACCCAAGTCTCAGGACACATTCCCCCCACCCCTCCGTTCTTTGGCGTTTGAGTGACAAAAGATTAATTTCCGTTTCAGCAATTTTACTTTTTGGTAAAATCTCTTCTAATGTTTGGGAAAACTGCCTTTTTAGAAGACTTTAATGTCTGGATTTGTGAAAATATTTACTTTATAGCCAGCTATGGGATCTGGGCTTCAAGGTCTCAATGGTTTTCAGCTTTGTCAGGTGCAGGGATGAGGAGGAAAAAGACCCGGGCACTTAATCCCGTTGGCCAGCTTGGGTCATCTCATACCACAAACATCACATTCAATAGAAATTAGAAAGTTTGCTGAGGAGTTTCTCCTCTTCTATGATGGCTGAGATCCTGAGAACTCCACCGAGCCCTTCCCTTCCTCCCAAAGCCACAGCGATCACAGTGTCCAGCATTTGCTGTCCCCTGCTGGGGAAATCAGTTTAATTTACTACAAACCAAATCAGAGTAGGATAATGAGAAATAAAACCCAAGTCTCAGGACACATTCCCCCCACCCCTCCGTTCTTTGGCTCAACTTCACTCCTGATTTTCTCTACCTCATCCCCAGCACGAGCAGCGCAGGAGGATGGGGAATGGGGGCTGTGGTCAGTTCATCACACGTTGTCTCTGCTGCTCCTTCCTCCTCACACTGTTCCCCTGCTCCAGTGTGGGGTCCCTCCCACAGAAGACTGTTTTCCATGAAATCCTCCAATCTGAGTCCTTCCCATGGGCTGCAGTTCTTCACAAACAGCTCCAGCCTGGGCCCTTTCCATGGGGTGCAGTCCTTCAGGAACCTCCACAGACTGCAGGTGGACATCTGCTCCACCGTTAACCTCCACAGACTGCAGGTGGACATCTGCTCTGCCGTTAACCTCCACGGACTGCAGGTGGACATCTGCCCTGCCGTTAACCTCCATGGGCTGCAAGGGGACAGCCTGCCTCCCCTTAGTCTTCACTGAGAAAGTTTGCTGAGGAGTTTCTCCTCTTCTATGATGGCTGAGATCCTGAGAACTCCACCGAGCCCTTCCCTTCCTCCCAAAGCCACAGCGATCACAGTGTCCAGCATTTGCTGTCCCCTGCTGGGGAAATCAGTTTAATTTACTACAAACCAAATCAGAGTAGGATAATGAGAAATAAAACCCAAGTCTCAGGACACATTCCCCCCACCCCTCCGTTCTTTGGCTCAACTTCACTCCTGATTTTCTCTACCTCATCCCCAGCACGAGCAGCGCAGGAGGATGGGGAATGGGGGCTGTGGTCAGTTCATCACACGTTGTCTCTGCTGCTCCTTCCTCCTCACACTGTTCCCCTGCTCCAGTGTGGGGTCCCTCCCACAGAAGACTGTTTTCCATGAAATCCTCCAATCTGAGTCCTTCCCATGGGCTGCAGTTCTTCACAAACAGCTCCAGCCTGGGCCCTTTCCATGGGGTGCAGTCCTTCAGGAACCTCCACAGACTGCAGGTGGACATCTGCTCCACCGTTAACCTCCACAGACTGCAGGTGGACATCTGCTCTGCCGTTAACCTCCACGGACTGCAGGTGGACATCTGCCCTGCCGTTAACCTCCATGGGCTGCAAGGGGACAGCCTGCCTCCCCTTAGTCTTCACTGTGGGCTTCAGGGGAATCTCTGCTCCAGCACCTGCAGCACCTCCTCCTCCTCCTTCACTGACCTGGCTGCCTGCGAGCCCTTCCCTTCCTCCCAAAGCCACAGCGATCACAGTGTCCAGCATTTGCTGTCCCCTGCTGGGGAAATCAGTTTAATTTACTACAAACCAAATCAGAGTAGGATAATGAGAAATAAAACCCAAGTCTCAGGACACATTCCCCCCACCCCTCCGTTCTTTGGCTCAACTTCACTCCTGATTTTCTCTACCTCATCCCCAGCACGAGCAGCGCAGGAGGATGGGGAATGGGGGCTGTGGTCAGTTCATCACACGTTGTCTCTGCTGCTCCTTCCTCCTCACACTGTTCCCCTGCTCCAGTGTGGGGTCCCTCCCACAGAAGACTGTTTTCCATGAAATCCTCCAATCTGAGTCCTTCCCATGGGCTGCAGTTCTTCACAAACAGCTCCAGCCTGGGCCCTTTCCATGGGGTGCAGTCCTTCAGGAACCTCCACAGACTGCAGGTGGACATCTGCTCCACCGTTAACCTCCACAGACTGCAGGTGGACATCTGCTCTGCCGTTAACCTCCACGGACTGCAGGTGGACATCTGCCCTGCCGTTAACCTCCATGGGCTGCAAGGGGACAGCCTGCCTCCCCTTAGTCTTCACTGTGGGCTTCAGGGGAATCTCTGCTCCAGCACCTGCAGCACCTCCTCCTCCTCCTTCACTGACCTGGCTGCCTGCAGAGCTGTTTCTCACACATGTTCTCACTCCTCTCTCCAGTTACAGTAGGTTTTTTTCTTCCCCTTCTTAAATACTTTATCCCAGAGGTGCTCCCACCATCACTGATGGGCTCGGCCTCGGCCAGGGGCAGGTCTGTCTTGGATCTGGCTGGGATTGGCTCTGTTGGACACAGGGGAAACTTCTGGCAGCTTCTCACAGGAGCCACCTAAAACCTTACCACACAAACCCAATACGTTGCTGTAGGATCTCTAGGGACAAAGTCAGAGTTCAATGATTCCACATGAAGTACCTCATGTTTTGCTGCTCATCCTCAAGGCCAGCGTCTGGAGGGGCAGCCACAGCCAGCACCACGCAGGGATGTGCCTGTCCCTCCAGAGCTGCCACAGCACTGATGCCACCCCGTAAGACAGACATTTGAGCCACGCTGTACAGTCCTGGCTTGGCTGAAAATTGCATACACAAATAAAACAACAGAATACAAAAGTCATTTTATTACCGCAACCGAGGAAGGAGGTTAATTCATTATGAACTACATGTTTTTTTTGTGAAAGGCTATCAGACTTCTTTAAAGAAAACATAAAATGGTTTGTGTGCCAAACAATCCACACTTTCCGGACTTGGCTTTTACTACAATTATTATTTTTTTTTCCCAGAAAAAGTTTCTCACCAGAGAAAAATACTGACTACGTGTATGTTATTTTAATAAAAAACTGTCCAAGACAACAAGCAGGATAAAAGGAACTGGATCCCTCAGATTTGGTATTAAATACCTGCACATAGATACATCCACGTGCCATACACGCTGCTGCTCCATGTCAAGGTTAAAGCACCACCAATAATTCTTCTGCATTACTGACATAACAAGAGTTTGAAACTTCGAAAGGCATTAAACACCCACCTCTTCTCCATCAAATAAATAGGTAACCTTAAACATCACTTGAACGGCAGAATTACATACACTTAACTGGGCTGAAATCAAAAACATTGCCAGATTAATTACACATTTAAACATCTCGTTGAGGCACCAAACATTTCCAAAGACCTTTAGGCATCGCTAGCCCGGCATGTGGCATAGTAAGAGAGCAGCAACATAAGGGTGATACTTCCTTTTAGCTGTATGGATGAAGTAGAAATGATTACTGTACAATTTTCACTTCCCCCCCCCCCCCCCCCCCCCCCCCCCTAATATTACAAAAATAAAAATAACACAAAA